GTTGGCAGGTTGAATTTATTGCAAGCATTAGGTGTAGCAGGATGTTGAGAATTTACTAAGTGCTGTTTACATTTTTAAGGGTGTAATAACTCCTGGCGTTTGGCTGTGGGGTTTCTTTTCCAATAGTTCTGCTGATGTGGGTCAAGCTTTCCATCTCTGCTCTTTGAAAAAGTGGAAAGAAAGTGGAAGAGGAGTGTGGCAGGATGGGATGGCCTGCCTGGGTCTGCTGGGCAGGCTGAAGGGTAAAGGGGGAGCAGAACCAGACATCCAAGTGTCCAAGCCTGGCACTTGGCCCATGGGATAAGACTGGAAACTGAGGAGGAAAGGGGCATGCTCACAACCTGTATTGTTCAACATTGGAGAAAAATGTCTTAAGTAAGACCCCGGGCTTACGTACATCTTTCATTTCAGGTTCACCAAACACACCTCTTCAGATCCACGTGCTGTCCCTCACCTTGGGTTACTTTATCTTTGACCTGGGCTGGTGCCTCTATTTCCAGACAGAGGGAGACCTAATGCTGTTCCATCACACGCTGAGCATCTGTGGCATGATCATGGTGCTGGGGCTCGGCAAGTCTGCTACGGAAGTCAATGCTGTTGTCTTTGTTAGCGAGATCACCAACCCACTGCTCCAGACCCGCTGGTTTCTGCGAGAAACGGGGCGCTACCACACTCTTCTGGGAGAGGTGGTGGATTTCTTCTTTGTGTTCCTCTTCCTGGTGCTGCGAATTGGAGGAGGAGCTGTGATCATGTATGCGATGGTGACGTCCCCCGATCCCAGCTGGCTCCTCAAGGCTGGAGGCCTGGCCATGTACATTGTGTCTCTGGGGTTTATGGTTGAAATCTGCCGCTTTGTCAGGAGGAAAATGTTGAAAAAATATCATTCCTGGACAAGTCTGAGGAGTACCAATGCACCTGTGAAAACTAATGGGCACTTGACAGCTCATTGATGGGTTGTGGGTGACAATCCCTTGCATCTGGCTACTGATGCCTATTGCTGTGGAAAGAACTCCTCAAAGTGGTGTGGAATTGACTTTCTGGCACTGGTCTGCTACCCCTGGAGGAGATGAATCAGTGCTAGGACCACAGGAAAGCTGACAGAAGAGGGGTTTGAGTGGAAATCTGAGGAACCTGGCATGTCTACTGACTCCTTGACTTTGCCATCAATGGTACAAGTCTCCAGGAGGGCGGCAATGTCAGATCTACTCAGTCTGCAAGCAGTGATTGCACTGTCTGTATGTTCTGTAATGATTCTGGAGGCAGAATTATTTTACAGTGGAGAGCCTGAAAATCAAATCTGAAAAATCCTGTCGTCTTGCCAGTGGGACGAGGTATGGGTGTGACCCAGCAAAGCTTAACTGAGCCTTGCTCTCCTTAACCCTGGAGTTGGACAACACACTTGACTAAGTACTTGGATGAAAGCCCCTGAACAAGATTCAAGTGCTTGCAGGGGTATAGTGGAGTTGTCCTTTGAGTGTGTGAAGTGATGGTACTTGAGGTGAGGCGTTGTTTTACCTCATTGTTTTTAATGATACATTTCTTTCTTTTTAAATACTTGCGTTCGAGCAGATACCGATCTTAGAGCAGTGTGACTTTCCTGGGATTGACTCAGGCCCTTGCAAACAAGAGTCAAGAATTAGACTTGTGCCAATAAAGTCCACAAGCAGGTGTTCACCTAGCCTTGGATTGCTTTAAAAAAAAAACCACAACCACACAACCCAAAATGGCAAACCACACATTTTGTGGGTGAGAGATGACAGAGAAGAGCCTTCTCTGGATGCTCTTTCTGTTCTGGCATTGGCTTATTCACCAGCCACTTAAGCTGAACGCATGGCTAACAAGTCTAATAAGTGACTACGTTTTCAGGGATGACAGTGATGTTTAGGCAGATCTTGGTGTAACATCTGCTCCATACCAGCAGGTCTCAGAGTATGGACCAATTGTCTTGTGTTCTTTACCTCTCAGAACTGAGTTCTGACATTTCCCCTGGGGTTTTAATGTGAATTTCCCTCTATTTAAGGCTGCAGTTCAGATTCAGTCTCCTATGAAAGCCTCGCGCACAGTTGGGGAAACAAATGGGCTTGTGTTGCCCTCAGGCTTAGTGAGGCTGGTTGCCTTTCCTTCCTGCTTTCAAAGAGTGTGTTTAGGAGAGCTTCTTCGTGGAGCTAAAGAGCCCCTGAAACTCTTGAAGTGAGGTGTCCCCCCTGCCACAGATGGAGGGGAGCAGTGGGAACGTGACTGCCATGGGGATGCAGCCTCACTGCCTCCTCCATGCCTCTTATCTCTCAAACTCCAGCACTGCTCAGGGTAGATATCTGCCTTGGCTGGGGCTTGGAATAAGGTGTCTGGAGAGATTAAAGAATGACCTGAAATAACCTCATTTCTCACATGCCCTCTGAATGCATCGCAGCTGTGAGTCCAGGCAAGTGAGCAGGCTAATATGGTTAGGAAAACAGGAGCCTTGCTCTCCTCATGCCTTGCCTGGCCTCGCGAGATGAGAACTCTTGCCAGAGTCACTGTGCTCTTCTGGGAACTCCTCTGAGCGATGAGACTTCTAATAAAGTGATGTTCTCTTTTAAAAAAAAGAAACCATTGCTGTAATGTTCTTTTGTTCTGGGTCTGAAGGAGGCAATTGATGTTAATGTTGCAGAAAACAGGCTTGAGGGTAGCCTAAGCATGCTAAGGCTAGGAGTCATGGCAAAGCTCTGGCTCATGCCCTTTGTGTAGTTTAGGAAGGAGTGGGTTGGTGGAAACAAGCAGAGACTGAGCCATGTGCTCTGGAGCTTAAGCTTAGGGGGTGAAGCATAGGTGAAGATCAGCTGAAACTCACCTTTGTGATTAATGTCCCCATAACCTGCCTTGCCAGTGAGTCATGGTCAGTGTCACAGGGAAGTTAAGAATGGGCCATTAAACAGGTTTTGATGGACTCAAGGTCACAGGGCAACTGTTAAATTTGTGGCCTACATCCCAGGCTGCCTTTTTTCCTCTGCAGCCCACTGGGTTTCTTATTTGTTAACATCTCAAAGAATGTAATTTTTTAATACATGTGCCTGATTTTTCAGCTGTCAAATGTCCTTGAGGGCTTTTACGGTCACAAAAAGTGAGCATCAGCCTTGGCCTCTCCCCAAGGCAGGCTGCTGGACTCTGCTGTGTTTCCAGTTCTCGTGTATTTCCAGTTTATTTCTGGAGAGGTTTCCCAGCATTGGCGAGCTGTGGCCCATCCCTGTTGTAAGCTCTCCTTAGAATAGAGACAGAAATAAGACAAAAAGAAAGATCATGCTGAGGGAGGGTGTAGCTAGACTAAAATGGGTGCAAATAAGTGTTAGCAGAGGCTCCTGTCCTGGGCTGTTCTGCTGAATGCTGTTTGTCTGCAGGCAAACCGAGCGGGTGCAGCTCAGCCTGCCCTTTTAAATGGCTGACTCTGCACAAAGCGAACCAGAAAATTAGTGTATAAGCTGCACCCAAGTTCTGGTACAATCCACTGGGAGACAATTTAACCTGCCACCTTGCATCTCCCCCAATGCAAATTTTGCGTGTTGTATGACCTAGAACAAAAAAACCCTCAGAACTCCTTCTCTATATTCCACCTCAGGCAGAATGGTCCTTGCCTTGGACTTTGAGAGGACACTTCTGTGGCCATCTCTGTTGTTCTTCCAGCACAGTTTCTGTGCTGTGAGTCAACATTAGCCCCAGAGTTTGGTGTCTGTCGATGCTGCTCTGTGTCCTAAGCTCAATGTGAGGACGGCTCCATCTCAGTTGTTATTGAGGCTATACCTGGCCCAGCAAAGGTGGAGGAAAGCGAGGTGGGACCTAAGGTTTGTCAGAGGAGCAAATGTGGTATTAGTGCTAGTGAGGAGGTTGCACTGATAGGGCTGAAAAATGGGCATCTTGTAGCAATAGGGACCTGTGTCTGGCCCGAGCTGGAAAGGTAAGATGGATATCCAGTTGAAAACAGGCTCATTACAGGTGGTAAGAAGCAGGACAAGCCACTCCCACCACCTGTATTTCAAAAGGTAAAACTTGACAGGATGAAGGGGAAAAAAAAAAAAGCCACCCTATTTCTGGGTGTGAGAGGTTGTTTCGATTGAGTGTTACGAAAGGAGTTAAGTGTGTTGGTTGGCGGAGCGTTTTTATAAGCTACTTTAGGTGCTGTGCCTAAGCCCTGGATTTTGCCGCTCGGTGGATGGAGGGAGGGGAGAGGAAAGATGTGTTCTAGCACCGAATGCTTGTAGAGAAAAGAACCTGCTGGGCTCTGTAACCGCCGCAGCAGCGCTGGGTGTGAGGGTACGTTCAGGATGAAGCTGTGTACCCTCCAGCTCTGCGGGTGATGAACCCCGTGGGGTACGGTGCCTCCAAGATGGTGCTTTATTGGGGCAGTTGTGCAAGTTGTGTAAGAGTCGGTCCCGCCAGGCGCTGCGGGTTGGCCTGGGACGAGGTGGCTGAAGCGGGTGGTTGGGTGCATGGGACCAATTTTCTGTGCCCACAGGCTGAAGTTAACTTAAGAATGGTGTGTGCCCGCTGGGGACGGGATTCTGCCAGCGACCGCCTGTCGGGCCATGAACCGTGGTGTGTCCCCCCGGCCAGGGAGGATGGACAGCGGGTGAATGTGGTGACCCTGAAGGTCCCCAGCATCTCGGCTGGGCTTGGGAAGGCCGGAGAAGGGGTGTGCGGGGAGCAGCTCCCTCCCTCCGGGCCTCCCCGCGGCCCTTGCCGTCCCTCCTCCCCGCCAGCAGGTGCCCCTCGGCCGCCGCCGCTTCCTCTTCCCGGGCG